CTTAAATACGGTGGAGGTTATTAAAAGTTCGATCCGACCGAACTTACCTGCGTTTTTACTTGTTCAATCTAAGGGTACTCAAAGTCGAGAGACACATATGCCTATAAAAATGTTTATTTGTTATCTGGAGCTCTATTTAATCTGTTTACTGGTGTAGGGTATCATAATGTCGGTCTGTCCGACTTTTGAACTATCTTTACTGGTTTTTGTTTTGGCTTATTTCATTTTTTTGGTGATAACAAAAATTGGGGGTTGGCCAGGGACCCTATTCTCTCCGTTTTTCAAAAACTTTATATATTTATACCCTACAACACTATGTGTTGGGGGCCAAAAATTATGTAACACCTCGAAATATTGATTTCCCACATAGAAAGTATATATGGATCTTCCTATCTCGCCGAGTTGAGTCGATCTAGCTATGTATGTCCATCCGTCCGTCTGTCCGTCTGTCCATGTTAATTTGTAATCACTCTACAGGTCGCAATTATGGCCCGATCTTCACGAAATTTAGGATGGAGGTGGGGATAAGGTCAGAATAGAACCCTATTTCTTTTGGAGATGATCGCATAATATTTAAGGGCCGAAATGGGCCAGAAACTGAAAAACCAATTAGCATGGGGCTAAAGCTTCGGGCTGGACAGAAGCCTTCCAATTTTTATGGTCATCGGGTAAAATTTAGTGGGTGAAATAGACTATAACATTTGTGATAAATAGAAGTCAAATTTCCATTATACCACGAATATTTTTAGTCCCGGCGAAATCATAAATAGACAAACAGGTCAATTCTGACCGTTACGTAGATGCCGATAGTAAATATATCGGATATATATAGCGAAATATATACAATGTGTATATACAAGGAAAGGAATGTTAGATGGAATGCTTATATCTCAATAATGGCTGGACCGATTTTGACAAATTTTGTCAATTCAGAATGCCCTCTTGACATAAATGTATAAAATCTAAAAAAAATCGCATAAAAATAAGTCAAAAATGATGTTAATATAGATTTTGTAGTATTTTGTGACATTTTTTTATTTTTTCATATTTTTTATCGCATGCGATTTTTTCAATTTGACTTATAATATTAAGGTGTACATTTTGTAATATTTTTCCACCTTACAACACAGGTTTGGGATATTATATACAGATTGCAATTATCGTCCGATCCTCACGAAAGGGGTAGGGTTATGCTCAGAAGGTCTAAGCCTATTGTTTTCAAAGATGTCCGCAATATATTCAGGGGTTGAAATGGAACAACAATTAAAAATGTTCCTGATTTTGCAGCCGTTATAAAGGTCATAAATAGAAACCAAAGGACACGAAATCTCGCATGAAGTTAAAGTTTAGGACAGCGGGTAGAATGGACCACTACTGTTGTCTGAAAAATACCAACATTACTTACAGGCGATAGCCGAAGTACATAAAATGCGAACTTCTGCCTTTTTTGCTGATTTCGTTGACGATTATAGCCAAATATCGTAGGCAAGAAGATCTATAGAAGAGTCTAAATTTGGAGATACAAAGGGACATCTTGCTTTTGGGGATGATCGCAAAATACGACGGAGTGCGTAAATATTGGGCAAATGTCCTTGGTCAAAATGCTAAGGGTAATATCTGGGCAGTGCTCCGTCACATAATTTCAAAAGCGAAATCTTCCAAAATGGTTTTGGACATAAGGGGGATTCTAACATATTGTAGTGTTGTAGGGTATCAGATGGTCGGTCCCACACGACTATAGCCTTTGCTTACTTGTTTTTATTTTTTTTTTTTTTGGGCTTATTTCAATATTTTGGTGAAATAAATAAAAATTGGGGGTTGGTTAGGGTTTGCAACAACTAATTACATTTTAACAAATTTTCAAAGTTTCAAAGTTTAGTTACAGAATAGGACTATACCCTCAGCCAATATTAGATTATTTCAATATTTTTTGACTTCTACTTTGATTATGCAAATTGCTGACCCTCTATGGCGTAGGTTCCGCAGGCATGGGCCAATATTTTCCATCATTATCGACCTAAACAAAAATGATATAATTATTGCAACGTGCCAGGTTACTTTCCCTCACTTTATATAAGTACAAGATATAGTCGACCGAAGTATTTCATTTTCACAATTCATCAAATACAGATAAACATATTGGTATTCGATTTATTACTCAAATTACCACTCCTTCTGGTACCTCCCCCACAACAGAGCCAAAATTTTGAATATCCAGGAAGCTCATTAAACGCAAAATTAACATCCGATTCCATCCAAACTCAATATTTCCATCGACACAAGATCTGTTATAAAGATATTAAAGATCGGACCATTTCTTCTTATACCTCCCCCACATAAGGTTCAAGATTAAAAAAAAAAAAAAACAAAACGTTCAAAGAATTTTGCCCATGAAAATGGAATACTTCGGTCAACTATATCTGGTACCTCAGGCATATTTCAACATTTTCTAAAAATAATCACATATCTCATAAAAAGTGAAGAAAGTAACCAATATGGTTCGAACCTGGCGCGTCGCAATATTTATATCATATTTATTTAGGTTCGATACGAAATGGACAATATTGGCCCATTCTTTCGGAACGTACTTCTTGGAGGGTCAACAATATGAATAATCATGACAGATGTTAAAATAGATTTAAATAATCGAATATTGGCTGAACATTGGGTATAGATCTTTCGGCAAAACTGACTGATAATTTTAATTTTTTTTAAGAACTTATTTATTTTTTTTTTATCTTTCGAATACTTAATTTGTTTTTTTTTTTTAAACTTTTCAATAGATAAAAGTTACAGAATAGGTTTCCAATCCTTATTACATTCTTCTGAAAACATATCGCATCTGTCGACAAGACAATGTAATAAAAAACAACAAGTAAAAAAGCTGTAAATTCGAACGGGCCAAACTTTGAATACCTTCCACCATTTGGTACTAATTTGGCAAATTTCAACAAAATAAAATCCGTTAAAAATTATGTTAAAATCTTAAAAATACCGAATGTAGCCGTATATTAGCTTCTATACGACGACGTGGACCTGCATAGGCAATTTTGTCACAAGCTATTACAATATTCAAATGCGAAACTTGAAAAAAAAATCTGTTTATAATGTAGCTTAAATCATCAAAATACCGAATATAGAGAGGTGCCATGGGGGTTACAAAACGCGGGCCTGCACAGACAATTTTCTGTCATAGGCTGTAGTATCCATTACGAACTTCAAATACAAAATTTGAAATAGTTCCAATAAAGAATGTCGCTAAAATCATCAATATATTACGAACTTCAAAAAAAAAAAAATCATCAAAATACCGTTATATGGCGGCTATACGAAGACGTGGACCTGCACAGACAATTTTCTGTCATAGGCTGTAGTATCCATTACGAACTTCTAATACAAAATTTGAAATAATTCCGATAAATAATGTCGCTAAAATCATCAACATACTGAATATCGGGTGATTCCGTTATATGGGGGCTATACGAAGACGTGAACCTGCACAGACAATTTTCTGTCATAGGCTGTAGTATTCATTACGAAATTCAAATACCAAATTTGAAATAGTTCTGGTAAATAATATCACTAACATCATCAAAATAGCGAATATCGGGGGGTACCGTTACATGGCGGCTATAAGAAGACGTGGACCTGCACAGACAATTTTCTGTCATAGGCTGTAGTATCTATTACGAACTTCAAATGAGAAATTTGAAACAAGTCCGGTAAATAATGTCGCTAAAATCGTCAAAATACCGAATATAGGGTGGTTCCGTTATATGGGGGCTATACGAAGACGTGCACCTGCACAGACAATTTTCTGTCATAGGCTGTAGTATCCATTACGAACTTCTACTACAAAATTTGAAACTATTCCGGTAAATAATGTCTCTAAAATCATCAAAATACTCAATATCGGGAGGTACCGATATATGGGGGCTATACAAAGACATGGACTTACACGGCTCATTTTCTGCCTTAAGCTGTAGTATCCATTACTAACTTCAAATACCAAATTAGAAACAATTCCGGAAAATAATGTCGCTAAAATCATTAAAATACCAAATATCGGGGGGTACTGTTATATGAGGGCTATACGAAGGGGTGGACCTACATGGCCCATTTTCTGTCTTAAGCCGTAGTATCTGTTACGAACTTTAAATATCAATTTTGCAACAATCCCGGTAAATAATGTCACTAAAATCACTATACGAAGACGTGGACCTTCATGGCCCATTTTCAATAACAAAAGTCCTGCAGACATAATACACGTTTAAGTAAAAGTTTATCAATCTACCTCAATTCGTTCGGAAGCTAGAGTAATTTCCACAGACGGACAGATGGATAAACGGACAGACATTGCTAAAGCGACATAGAATTTTATGCTGATCAAGAATATACATACTTTGTGGGGTCTAAAATGTATATTTCGAGGTGTTACAAACGGAATGACAAACTTAATATACTTCCATACTATGGTGGAGGATATAATAATACTTCACTTGAATGGATGTAATCTTGATATGTATTTGTATTAGGCTGAAGCTACTACAATTTTTGTTATCCGCTTACTTCGTCGCAGGAGCAAGATATATAAGGTTATTTAGTTTTGGTTGATAAGTCAACCAGGTCATGACATCCATTGAACCAACCATTCCATACCTCAGTTTTTGACTTATAAATATCTTGTTTAAAGACATACATACTTTTTTAAGTATCTAAAAAAGTTGGTTTGGCAATATTTACAAGATTATACATTGAATACCTTAGCATATCAAAAACTTGTCTAAAATTGCCTGTGTACACGACAACTACTCTGTAAATATGAATAATTTATATTGAACCACATAGGAAACCAACACAGAGAGTAGAATGCACAGACTTCAAATACAACACAATTTTAGCTCTCACATGCGGACAAGAGATTCTCACAGATTTTCATTCCTTTCTTTTCCTCGTTTTTCTTAAACAACGACAAAGTGTTGCCAATTTTTAAATCATCTCGGAAAATTTTCAGTCAATTTCGAAAAACCGGCAAACGTACAACACCGAACGAACGATCAACAACGCGGAGAAAAACAAAATTTCAAAACAAAAACCGAAAATCGAAATAAAAAAGACAAACAGTTGGCTGGCTGTGTTGCTGTGAAAATAGAAAAAAGTGAAATAATAAAAAAGAAAATATTATGAAATTTGGGACACAGTTTTTATGAGAATATATCCAGAAATTTGACGAACCCGAGATAACACAAAGTATGTTTGTCAGCTATTAAAAGAGAACAAAAAAACAAATATTCTTTTTTTTTTTTTTTTTTTTTTGAACAGCGTTTACATTTTTTTCAGCTGGCGAATGTAGCAGCAAAACGCACCTCAAGAGCAAAATGGCAATACTTTTAGTACACCTGCGACGTCTCATACTCTTGATTAGCATCGTGTATTTGAGTGGCGCCTTTGTGCGAAAGCTGTTGACTGATTCGCGTCAAGCCTACCTGGTGCACATGAACAGCGGCAAATCCCTGTTGTGGGCGAAGCATTTGCACTTCCAGTGGTGGGCCTACATCTACACTTGCTACGCCTATATCGTGCTGGTGAATTATGTGAATATGCGTCGCTACACTACATTGTTGGAATTCTTCTTCACTTGAGTTGAACGAGAAGGCATAACCCAAGTTTGCTGTCATCCCCATCAACCTCACAAGGGGCCGAAATTATTATCCAAGTGCTGAGGAGCAGTGAAGAAAATCATTCGCTGTGCCATAAAACCCAAAGATCGCAATAAAAACGAATGTGCATTATTTGGTTGTCCGTTGTATTCTTTCGGTTAGGCTTTTTTATTTTTGCATTTGATTGCTTTTTTTGTGGCATACCCAAGATTGTATTCTATTTTGGTCGCTAAAATTAGTTCGGTTTATACACTGATTTGATGAAGTAAATCATAACAGATATATGTATGTATGGGCGTATGTATGTGCAGAACATTTTTGTCGTCATCAGGGGCCTCATGAACATTAGGGGTGTTCAATATATTTTCCCTGCCAAGCAGCTGCATTTCCAGCAAAAAGTCCCATTACAAAATATTGGTGACGTTCAGAAAAAGTGGGAAACCTGAATTAAAATTATGAGTATGAGTCGGTTTTGCCGACATACCCTCAGCCAATTTTCGATTATTTAAATATATTTTGTCTTCTGTTATGATTATTCAAATTGTTGACCCTCTATAGATTAGGTTCCGAAGGAATGGGCCAATATTGTCCATTTCGTATCGGACCTAAAAAAATATGATATAAATATTGCGAGGTGCTAGGTTTGAACTATATCGGTTACTTCCTTTACTTTTTATGAGATATGTGATAATTTGTAGAAAAGCTTAAAATGTGCGTGTGGCACCAGATAAATTCGACCGAAGTATTCCATTTTCTGATACAGCTAAAAATATTGGTATGGGCAAAATTACAAGAAAATCTAACATTTATATCCAATTTTATGCGAAATCATAAATGTCAAGTTTCTGGCTGAGAGAAATATTTAAATGTAGCAAGTTGTAAAGAATCGCTGATTTGTTCCGCAAGTTATGATAGGTAAAACCATTGAAAATTGTGAACCTTTGTGGGTGAGGTACCAGAAGAGGTTCACAAATATATATCATCCTCACAACAGATCTTGTTTGTATGTGTGAAATTCGAACAGAGTTAGATGCTTATTACGCTTTCTTTCAGCGTTATGTTTTTCAACATCTTGAATCCTAGAAGAAGTGATCCGATATCTACCATCTTTATATCATATCTTGTGTTGATGGAAATATTGAGCTGTACCTAGTCTAAATGGAATCGGATGTTAATTTCGCGTTTATGAGCTTCATGGATATTTAAAATTTTGACCTTTGTGGGGGAGGTACCAGAGGGAATGGATCGATATATCCCATCTTCACAGCAAATCTTGTATAGGTAGAAATAATAGGATGTGTGAAATATGCAAATTTTATTATCGTTTTGGTTATTTAAAATAATGACCCTTTGTGGGAGAGGGGGGAGGTACCAGAAGGAGTAGACCGATACATTCCACCTTCACACAAGACCTTGGGTTAATAAAAAATATTGTGATGTGTGTAATTTGAAGAAAATTGGACTCTTACATCACATTTTATTAGAGTTAAAATTATTCAAATTTTTGACCCTTTGTGGGTGAGGTGCTTCATGGAGTGGACCGACATTATCCACTTTCACACCTGACTGACGCAGATATTAGGATTTTCAAGGTTGGAGCAAAATCGTAGTATCGAGTTGGAGTATTGCCCATCTCCGAAACGATTGATAATGGTACTACGATGTACCAAGTTTGGAACAAATCGGACACTCCCTTCGAGAATTATAGTGCGCACCAGTCAGTCAGACAGTCCAAATGCCGGATTTCGTCCAAAATGACCTAGGGTCTTAAACCGTTATTTCGATGAGGCACGGTTTGGCCTTATCTAGCCATATGGCTGAGGGTACAAAAATAAAAATGTACCATTTGTTCATTTGTTCAGTTCGTACTAAATTTTAAGACTTCCAAAGTTTCATATATTATTCAAGTTTTTTCGCATTTAGAAGGAATATTTGACGTCAAAAGTCTTTTAAATCCTCCATTTTGAAGTTAAGTATAGGAGGATATTGGTAAAGTCATTGCACAATGGATCCACATCCAAATATGTAAACCCTATAAACCAACAATGACCTCAATATCAAACACCTAGACACCAACTGTGAACCAATAATTAGTACCATTTAGTACTTTTCGAACAATAATAGTACACATTTCCAAAACAACCTCCACATCTCAAATCCAGGCAACAATATCTAATTTGATAATTCCAGTCCTATTTCTTCACCCAATACCAAATTTAGTACCATTTAGTACTTTCCGTATAAATATAATATGACTTCCAAACCACCGCCAAATATCAAACACAGATACCATCAGTATTCTCAATATTAAATTTCGGAATTTTATCTCTAGCCCTTTACCCAATACCAAAAATAGTACCATTTAGTACTTTTTGTACAAATATAGTATGACTTCCGAACAAACACCAAATCTTAATATCAATAATGTCTATATTAAATTTCGGAATTTAATCTCTAACTCTTTACCTTATACCAAAAATAGTACTATTCAGACCTCTTCGTACAATTATAATACATATTTCCGAAACCACTACCATATGTCCAGGCTACATACGATCAGCGACCCAATACCAAATACAGTACTATTTACAAACTTTTGTGCACTTGTAGTACACATTTCCAAATTTCAAACCTATCACCAACAGGTACCCTAATACAAAGTTTAAAAATTCCAGCTTCATCTGTTTACCCTAAACCAAACTGTTCCAAATTAAGTACCATTTAAAAGAGTTCTCATACCAAATTGATTTTAATTTGCAATTTCGGAACTCTAGCTCATTCCGTTTGTCCAATACAAAGTATTAAGCTTTTAGTACCATATGGTGTATTTCCAATGGTGGCGACGCACCAAGACAGGCCCTTGTGGAAAATTTTCAAGATTCTAGCTTCAGTCGTTTAGTCTGGGCGTTGATTCTCAGTCAGTCAGTCCAGAATTTACAAAGTTGCAAAATGCGTCCTGAATTTTTATTAAATGTGTGGACGGAAGGTTTGACAAACAAACATAAAATCGACTCAAAAAGTGATTTTATGTAATTCAACAAAAGGAACTATGTGTCTATGTCGTAGCCTTTTGGCTTTTTTTAAACAAATGTACGCAGACATGATACCCTGAAACAAAGTGTGGTGAGGAAAAGGAGTGGGGTGTGCAAAGAAAAGTTCTAGTTTTATTCAAATGCCATTTGAATGCAAACTCACAATTATTGTAAAGTGAGGCATTCAAAAACAAGTCCCTTGATCATTCAAAATCATGTATCGACTTATTCAGAAATTATAGGCCCTAGATAACGGCTGCCTCAAATCTCCAAGGTTATTGAGCTACACCAACCATTTTGGTATCAATGTAAAAAGACTTTCTATTTTTCCCCCAGAATAGATTCATATTTTTTCTTTACCTAACCAGGACCAAAGTCATGTTGCTTATACAATGTGGCGCAATTTTTTCAATTTGATTTTTAAGATTGCAAATATCGTCCGATCATCACAAAAATTTCATAAGGGTAGGGTTAGGCTAGGCCTTTTGTTTTCAAAGACATCCGCAATATATTTAGGGGTTGAAATGGCCGTTATAAAGGTCAAAAATAGAAACCAAAGGACATGAAATCTCGCATGAAGTTAGAGCTTAGGACGGCAGGTTAAATGAACCACTACTTTTGTGTGAAAAAAATACCAAAATTTCAAAAATACACAAAAAGCCGAACTTCTGGCTTTTATGCTGATTTCATTAACGAATATAGCCAAATATAATACACAAGCAAATCATATAGATGAGTCTAAATTTAGAGATACAGAGGGGCCTCTTGCTTTTCGAGATGATCGCAAAATATTTAAGAGTTCAAATGAACCAAAAACAGAAAAAATTTCCTGATCACACAATTGAAGCCAATCGACACGCCTGAGAAAAGAGTTAGGGATAGGGAAGAATTCTAATCCCAACTCATCAAGTTGCGGCATAACAAAGTCGTTGACCATTGCTTTGTAGCGCTCACCATTCACAGCAACCACTTGGCCCGCGACGTCTTAGAAAAAACAAGTAAAAAAGCTGTAAGTTCAGCCGAACTTTGAATACCCTCCACCATTTGGTACAAATTTGGCAATTTAAAAAAAATAAAAGCCGTTAAAATCTTAAAAATACCGAATGTAGCCATCTATTAGGCTCTATACGGCGAAGTGGACCTGCATAGGCAACTTTTGTCATAAGCTATTACAATATTCAAGCGTGAAACTTGAAAAAAATCTGTTTATAATGTAGCTAAAATCATCGAATATAGGGAGGTACCATGGGGGTTATAAAACGTGGACCTGTGCAGAAAATTTTCTGCCATAGGCTGCAGTATTCATTACGAACTTCAAATACAAAATTTGGAATAATTCCGGTAAATAATGTCGCTAAAATCATCAAAATACCGCATATCGGGAGGTACCGTTATATGAGGGCTATACAAAGACATGGACCTGCATGGCCCATTTTTAATACCAAAAGTCCTGCAGACATAATACACATTTGAGTAAATTTTTATCAACTTACTTCATTTCGTTCGGAAGCTAGAGTGATATGCACAGACGGACGGACATTGCTAAATCGACATAGAATTTTATGCTGATAGAGAATATATATACTTTGTGGGGTCTAAAATGTATATTTTGTCTAAAATGTATATTTTCCACCATACTATGGTGGAGGGTATTATAAGGTCCGAGGACTCGAAAACAGCACACCATACAGTGAGCGGGTGTAATGGCTCTTCGTGGGTTACGCGCGGATTTTCGTGATTATTTTGGATGATTAAGCAGCTAACAGCTGATGCACTATCTGGACTTTGTGCGGAAACACCTTCAAATCTTGTAACAAAGTTCGCTGTAAAGACCGTCGACTGATACCCATTTGCGTAGCACGTCGTCTGATCGATGCCGACGGCGCTTTCTCTACAGAACGGATACTCCGGGGTCTGCCACCATCTTTTGTAGTGCCAGTCATCGAGGCGAGCAACTAAACGTCGCAGTGTTTTACCAGGAGGCGTTGAAATCTGTGAGGAAATTCACGTTAAGCCAAAGTCACCGATCGATTATTGGTCATATAAATAGTCACCAATAATCCGCGTTCTGGAGGCGTGTAGCGTAACATTGTTTATTAA